AGCAACGGTACCTAGAAAAATTCCACCTGCCAAGAAAAGTTTAAGAAATAAAAATTAAGATTTTGTTTCTTACAGGGAGGAGAAAAAAAACCAAACAAACCACAAAACCAAGCCTGTTTGAAAATAAAACCTGAAAAATTAAGATCTGTCAGCACATGCTGAAGGGAAAGGCACTGTTGTCTACATTATTTACGTTAACTCAATATAGCAAGAAAGAATATTTTGAAATAGAGCATTTTAAAAATTTGTGGCAAGTGTATTTATTTTCAAGCCACACACACACACAAAAATCACTCAAATCCCAGGATGCCTTTTCACAGTACTTTGAAATTTCTCTCTCACTCCAGAGCCAAGCTACTAAAATCATCTTGTTCTATGGCTACACCTCACCCTTCCCCAAAAGGAAGACATCATTATTTTTGTTGCATCACTTGTTATTTCAAATGGCCACCTGAAAATCCACGAGTACCTCTGAAGACCATTCCATAAGCAACCCTTGTTCCTCAGCTCTCTTTGTTTTACGTTCTAATGCTCTATTTAAAAAAAGAAAATGACACTAGCAGGGAGCTTTCGCAAGGTGGAAAGCATTCCTCACTTTTCAGCTTTTGCAGAGTGTTCCCAAAGTCACTTGGGGTCCCTTGATCCCTTCTAGTTCTTGGATCAACGGCACATGTAGCCATACCTGCCCACTTTTAAGGAAAAGGCACGTTACAAAGAGTGAGTGCATGGTACAAAACCATCTGATTCATATTCAAATTTAAAAATTTCAGGGGGTTACAAGTTCTTTCTTTCCAACTATTGATGCCCAGCCTGTTTTCCCTTTCCTAATACCAGTTAGGTAATTTAAAAACTGGCCTGAATAGGAAGGAAGAAGCGAAACATGTTTATGTTAGGTCTCACTTTTTAAAAATTAATTACCCTATGATCGTGATGGAGAAGTTCGCTGTACTCGTGTCAAATGAAATCTGTAAAGTACCTCTTCTGCCTGGGAGCGGGAAGACCTCACACGCTGTCCGAACTTTGCACGTCCCCCTGCATTTTACATTTCCAGGTCTACTAACCCGCATTTCTCCGATTTCAGAAATCACAACTGGTCTTAAATTAACTTGCCAAAGAGGAGCTCGATGCACGGCCTGCTCGGGAGGGGCGGGCAAGCATTTGCAAGGGGTAGGCGAAGCGTGTGGTAACAGGGAGCGGCGCCATCAGTCCCCTGGGCCTGCGGGGGGGCAGCTCCACACGACGGCGGCCTGGCCTGGCCCGGCCCTGCCCTTTGCCTGGCCT